TTCTCATAAAAATATGTTGGCTAACTGTTTTCGTTTTCTAGTAGCAGTAAAAATAGCAGAACAATCGATTTTGTTTATTTAGCAGTCACGTGACGTAATTAATGTTGACATTAGCGTTATCATAATTTTTGGATAGAGTGTTGCAAGGGCTACAATAACATGTAAAAATTGTTAGTCATTAATCATTATTATTATTTTTATCAAGCTTTTTCTGTTTTGCCCAACGAAAGTCTACTACATCCTTAAGACAATATTGTGTGGCTTGTTGCATAAATATAACACAACTCTATGTAATAATATCATATGCCATGTCCTTATTTGGACAACACCATTGTTGCTTTCCTTCTGCCCTTGTAAAGACCAAATCATAGCAGATGTTGATGGGATATGTGAAAAAAATGTAATAATAATAATATAAACAAACTATTATGCACTTATTATAAAGCATGTATCAACTATATACATTTGTTTACAATTCACCTTAATGTATCGTTTGTATTCATTGTATTCATATTCCAAGGCTGCGAGATTCTGTCCTGTACGCCATTTTTGAACTTTTAAAACTCTTCAAAAAAAAGCAGTACCACCTGAATTGAGTGTTCATAATATGTATTTGTTCAACAGTGGACGGACTTGCGTCCAAAGTAAACAGGAAAGATAGCTTAGCCCTTAAATTACAAAACAGGCCGAGTCGCAATATATTAGTGGATAGGAATATAATCAAAGAAAAATCAGACGTTGAAAAACAGGTGGAAAAGGTTTCATTGGAAGCTAAATTAGACAGGTAAGAATTATTTGTGGATTTTCTTAAGCTAAAAAAAACTCTACAATATGGAGTGCATGTCCTTCTTATTTGCATAATCTATAGGTTTGTTGCTGATTGTATCTTTGTAGATGATCTCTCGTCCTTACAGGCTCAAAATTATGAATATGAATTGATCTTTTGAGTGGTTTAGAATTTTTTCTTACACTTGTTTTGCCAAAGTGATACAATCAATATAACTCATTTACTCTACCTTGTGTATTTCTCATTTTTGTACATCTCGCACCAAAAACATCTGTGAAGTGCCATACAGACGTGTTAGAAAATGTTACGGACATATTTGAATGTCTTCCTTATTTGGAATATGTGTGTCATATTTACATCTTATAATGGAGCTGGGCAATTCACATATAATTTCTTCTTTCTAGACGGTTAAGTTTGCGACCCACAGAAGAAGAACTCAAGCAGAGGAATATACTCAGAAGTAAGTTGGAATTGGTTGTGTATACTTGATAAAGGTTTTATATCCTCCTTATTCTGCCTGTTTTGTTCAGTTCAATTACATATTTTATTTATTTATTTTGATTGATAGGAAGAAGTCAAAAAGAAGAAAAAGAATATAAAGAAAAGATGAAGAGTATCCTTACAAGAAAAGTGAGTAGTGCAATATCCACATGTTTTATCTGGTCCTTATCCTAGATTTGGTGTAATATGGTCATATATTCAGATGTATGTAATATGATCATATATCCAGACGTGTGTAGGCTGGTTTCATTGGCCAGACGTGCGCGGGCTGGTTCCATTGGCCAGACGTGCGCGGGCTGGTCCCATTGGCCAGACGTGCGCGGGCTGGTCCCATTGGCCAGTCGTGCACGGGCTGGTCCCATTGGCCAGTCGTGCACGGGCTGGTCCCATTGGCCAGTCGTGCGCGGGCTGGTCCCATTGGCCAGACGTGCGCGGGCTGGTCCCATTGGCCAGACGTGCGCGGGCTGGTCCCATTGGCCAGACGTGCGCGGGCTGGTCCCATTGGCCAGACGTGCGCGGGCTGGTTCCATTATCTGTTCTCGTTATCTGATCTGATTATCCATTACATTGTTTTAGTTGAGTTTTCGACCGACTGTAGAAGAACTGAAGAGGCGGAATATTCTTCAATTTTGTGACTATGTGGAAGTTACACATACAGTAGAATATGATAGAAAAGCTGATAAACCATGGACAAGACTTACTCCTCAGGATAAGGCAAGTTACAGCTAAGATTACTTCTAATATTGCAAACCATCATTATTACTTATTTTACTTCTATAAAAATGGTACAATACAACAGAGGAGATGCAGTTTCTATTAGAGCATCTGAGAAATTCTGATTTTTTGGTTCTCTATTATTGAAAAAGAATGGGTGTGACTTCTATTAGTGATGTGGCTTCTAATACACATTTTACAGTACTAGTATTACCTAGTTTCACCATGTCCTTTGAGTTGAGTTAATTTCACTATACTAGCAGTGAAAGAACCCCCTGTCCAGTGTGAGTTCTGTGGGTGCCCTCTCATTAGCGATAAGCAGGCCTTACACTGTGACAACAATGCATTTTACATGTGTAGCATGCATCGCATGGGACTTGTATCCATCCAACCTTTACTAGGTACAACAACTGTGGCAATTATAACAAGTGTGTTGTATTTTTATCATTGCAGGCTGCGATTAGAAAAGAATTGAATGAATTTAAAAGCACAGAAATGGAAGTACATGAAGCAAGTAGGCAATTTACAAGGTATGTGACAGCCAAGCTACTTCCAAACCTTAAACAGTTTGTGACATTCAAATGAGACACAATTAATAATGACCAGCCTTTGAGTGAGTGGTAAGGGGTTTTGATCACCAGGGAAAAAAAATACCTTGAAGTTTTTTAGCTCTGCTGTCGATTTTGTCGGAAGGAGCTTATCATAGGAGTGATTGTTCGGCGACCGTTGTCTGTCGTTGTCCATGTCAACTTTTTACTTTTTCAACTTCTTCTTGAAAACTACAATTGCTTTGATACTTGGTGTATACTTTAATAGGCAGACCTCTTAGATTTCATGATGAATATGTTTGTCATTTTTGGTAAAAAGTGATATTTTCAACTTCTTTTTAAGAACCACAAGTACAATTGCTTTGATATTATACATATAGGTGCATGTACCACATGTAGACCTCTCTCAGATTTGTTCATTTCGTGATGATATCTTCAATTCTCTGATTTTGATGAATGTTGTTGTCATATGCATATAGGTACCTCAGGTAGACCTTTCTCAGATTTGTTCATTTTCTAATGATATCTTCAGTTCTTTAATTGAAATGTGCATTGCTAACAGCGGAGCTATTTCAGCCAAGAGACTGCTTGTTGGACAATATGAGAATTCCTTCTTGGAGTATAGCATATCGTGTGGCAATGCTTCAGTGTTTTTTTTAAGCTGTTCGCGGATTCATTATGAGATAGTTTCAATAGTTTTGACCATTTGTTAATTTCTGAGATTCCTACACCAAGCTGTTGGATCAGAAAATCAGAAAATGTGTATGAAGTATGTACTCAACCTCTACTATGTGACAGTTTATACTCTTGCTGTACTGTCTTCATTCAAACTTTGGCGTATAACTACATACTATACTCTCATCAAATTATCTAAATACTCTCTTTCTCTTCTACCCACTAGGTTTCATCGACCATAATGAAGAATTGCAATTTACAATATGCATTATGAAGTATTTAATTTTTGTACAAATCATATTGCTGTAGTTGTCATTATAAATATGTATATCATCCATATTGTATAATGGTTTTGTAGATATTTTTAAGTGTGTATGTAGACGTCTGCATCTCCATCCATTATTATTAATATATCCCGCTTTTAATACTTCTCGGGACCAGGCCGCCCATTAAATACTACTTCTTTTATATGATGTAGTTACTGTATCTGCTCTATTAGAAGCGCATACTATTTTACATGTGATCATTATGCAGCTATTTTTTGTTTTGCATCTGTAAACTTTTTAATCACTTGAGAAATTATTGATACAACTTTTCAGACAAAAGTAACAAATCTGAACACTCTAATGGAGAAATGCTTTCTCGCCTAACATGCGTTTCTCATAGAACAAATTCGGTGTAATTACATATTGTCTGTTTTCTGCTTAGCGCTTCACACAGTTTTATTGGTAGTATTTGGTTTTTTTGCTCATCATTCAAGTTAGTTTGTCATTTTCTTTTAAGTTGCACTTATACTTGATTTTCTTTGGTGTTTTTGTACATATTTGATGATATGAACATGAATTACAGAGAGGAGAGCCTAAATATTCAAAGTTCAATTTCTTTGGATAGTGTTTGAATGTAAGTTATCTTTCTCATCTGACTCACAACTATAATGTACATGTCTACTTCTAGCTATGGCATGGACATGTTGAGAGTGGTGTATGTTGTTATGTAATACATGTATGCGTTCTAAAGTGGACAAACAAATTAATTTTATTTCCAGCTCCCTCTCATGTAAATATTCCTACCATCAAATATGTCACATAATTGTTCAAAAAAATACACCTCAAAGTATGATCCAACATACCACAGTTAAATAGAACTTAAATGCAAATGGCTGCTGAATGTCACATGACTCTCGCTATCAATAAGATCTCAGCGTACATTTCTAAGGTCTATTGCACTTTTATATCGGTAACTGCCCTTACCATGAATCCACCCAATCTGTAATTATGTGAAGTTGGCAAAATATTCTGAGAATTGTTTAGCCCACTCCCTCCATATTTTAGGCAAGCATCTTAATCTTACTTGTTGGATTAAGGGGAAAGATACTTAAATTGTCTTTATTTATATAGAATGACACAGTCCATGGGTCTATGGCTGTTATAGCACAGGGGCTCGGTGTGTGGCCATTGTCACATGTCCAATGTTTTGACTTTAGCAGTGTATATACCGGTAAGCATTTGTGTCAGTTATATAATTATATAAATCGCAACACGTAATGCGTATGGAGATTGTAAATGGTATTCATTGTATTCATACACAGGTTGTAAACCACATATGGATTCAATTGGTGATTGTAAACAGCCACACATGTATTCATATTTAAATTGTAAACATATTGTATTCATATATGGAGATTGTATATAGACACATATGTATTTATATGAAGATTTAACAACCACACATATATTCATATGGAGATTGTGAACAATTTCACATGCATTTATATAGAGATTTAACAACCACAAATGTATTCGTATGGAGATTGTAAACAATTTTACATGTATTATTTTTGAGGATGTAAACACTCACACATGTATTTATATAGAGATTTAACAGCCATAGGTGTGTTGATATGGAGATTCTAAACAGCCACACATATTCGTATGGAGAATGTAAACAATTAGACATGTATTCATATGGAGTTTGTAACGAGTCTTGCATGTATTCATGTGTAAATTATATACTGCCATAGGTGTATTCATATGAAGATTGTAAACAGCCACACTTGTTTTCATATTGTAGAAAGTATTCCATGTTAAGGCCCCCCGGACAGTTAGCCATATGTATATACATGGTACACTGAGACACCTGACTTGAATGTTCATGAGAACGTGTCAGCTACATTTGTATAGTTAATATTATTGTGCAGATCTTATTTGTCCAAAAACCATGTTATAAACTGCATGCATAGAATATTTAGTTTGGTTTTGTTTTTACTCTCTAATTTGTTGACATATCATCTCTATTTTCTATGTATATTACATATGAGATGTAGTTTGAAGCACCACAAGATAAGATAATCTGATTTTTGCTAATGAGCTCTCAAGATACACTGATGTTGCATGTCATGTGCTTTGCATTTGAGTGTATGTATGTATGTATGAACGCTTTGCGGTAATCGTGCAGCCATTCACAGGATGTACACTGGTTGCATTCTATTCCTTGGCCGCAATGACTCACAACTGTAATGTACATGTCTACTTCTAGCTATGACATGGACATGTTGAGAATGGTGTATGTTGTGATGTAATACATGTATGCGTTCTAAAGTGGACAAACAAATGAATGCTCAACAGCTCAGTTTGGTAATGCATACATTACTTGTGCTACAGTTGGCAATGTGCAACCCCTTCGACAATGTTGAAACATGTTTTTGGACTTGGTATGTTATGTTATTAACATTGACTGACTGTCATTCTCACGAGACTATATGGGACCTTGATTTACATGCATTTGGATAGGGCGGTTGCGGTTGTACTAAGAGGTTATGAACACTATAAGGTGAATTAGTAGTTTTCTGTCTTTTGTTACACACAAACTATTTATGCATACTCGGTAACTCATTTTCTGGTAACACTTTTAAACACATCCCCCTTCATATGGGCTATCCATGTTAAGGGCAATGAGCTTCATTTTTGGCGTTTTATTTCCCCCTCATTTTAAATCGTAAGCTCAATGGGGTATGAAATGAATGAAACTCATTGACGAGATATCATATTCCAATTTATGGTGATAGAATACTGTATGTATGCATGCATACATAGCATTGAACATTTTATCACATGTGTTTACTTGTTTGGTATCACAATGATCATTTACGTTCATATTACATGGATTACCTGTACCTGTAAACATGCAGCACCTAGACAGCCGACTATACACATATAAACAATACCAAGACAGCATGCATAGCATGAAGTGTCATAAATATACGTCATACAACACACTATATCACCGTACATTTGGATTTCGTGCCTTGGCTCTATTAATAGATGGTTCAACTAATCTGAACAAATTAGCAAAAAAAAAAAAAAAAAACGCAGCTCATGCACTTACAATAAAATGTATATTTAGATAGTTATTATAGCCAAATTTTAGATTGTTTTTATTTAGTTTGATGGAGTTGCTATGGTTTTCATTGAAATCATGTTATTACCAGTGTTTTGTAATTATTCACTCGGTGTCTTCTGTTGCAGTAAATTTATTTATCAACCATCACATCATGTCAAGTATAAAGTGTGCAACTCTCTAACTAGGTTAAAGAAAACTCAAGTCCTATCTATTGTCTTGCTTATACAGCTGACTGACAAGTTAGGTTTTTTACCCCAAGGTCTGTGTATTACATTGCCCTTTAATGGCAATCATGTTTTGTATTTTATATAATCAAATAATCTCTGTAATTTTTACCAAAACTTCCTTTTACTTAATTTACCAAAAATAAAAACAGGACAATATCAGAACAAATGCATGTGTGATTTTATTTCTCTCCATGAGATAGTGAAAAACTCTTTGCTACAGTCTTAAGCTGGATTTTTTCTATCAAATGTGTTGGTGTTTTTCCCCTTGTAGGATTTTTTTTTTAAATTAACCAAACATTTTGGTTAACCATGGATCTCCAAACTCCATGGTTAAATAGTAAGTAATATGACAGCCATTTAGTTCCATTGACTCCTATGATGCAGTTGAATCAGGTGTGTTCTCACCAAGAAATTAATACGTGGGCAGAATTGTTTCATCAGTTTACAAAATACGAGACATCCATGCAACATCAGGAAGAGACGAAAAGTATTCTATCCATACACACGTGCGAGAATTGAGTCATAAGTGACAATAACAATGCATTTGAAAAATGCAAAGGCTCATGGGCAAACTTGTTTGTGAATAATGGCACGCCATGGCCGACAACTGTATACGCAGACTCCCCTGCTTTAAATGAATATAAAAACAGGTTTGAAATTTCTTTCTACATTTATAAATTACCTGTATCTTAACCCGTTAGTAATACAGCTGATAAGTCAAAAAAAAAGAGCCATTATTGTAAAATAAGTTTTTCTTTTTATTACTTAACCTTCTGTAATACACAGCATAAAACATATTGCCAGATACCCCATATATAATAAACATAGTTTAGGAATGGAAGCCAATATTTTATATTTTAAAAATTCTACAAAAAAGGCAATTTTTGGAAAATTGTATCATTATTTGTATAATCTCAATTGCGGTAGGAATTCTCATTGAAAATAATGTATATTGAGTGTATGCACATGTATTTCAATATAATAATTAATAACAGTTCATTAATCATAGTAATTAAACAGTTCATTGACCTTTTCCTGAATACCCTCAAACATACTGTTGTGTGAGGGCGCTGTATAAACATTATTTTCAAGTATCAAAACTTAAGAGGTTGTGCACAGTAAGATAAATATGGTGTCTACATTGATAATTATGTGAATTATTACATTTCTCCATATCGGCATTCTGTGTGCTCTGATAAACCGGAAGTGTATTATAGGACAAATAAATTTTCTTCTTTACAAAAAAACTCAGAAATCATCAAAGTTATTCAAATCTGAGAGATCACTGTAAATTTCATGTGGGTCTTTTTATCAAAGCAATGCTCATTAAAACAACCTCATCAAATTATTCACTTTTGTCAAAAATTAAATATTTTACAATGAACTCTGTTTCGAACAGTATGATGTCATGGAAGATTTGACGAGATTTAATGTATTGTGTGCTGCTTTATATAATAATTTTGTCAAATATGTATATTATTTATATATAAACAAAGTCAAATGACATGGGTTAAGATGGTGGCAGCAAGGATGACTTGAGGGTCACCAATGATGTTGATGACGACGAATCCTCAAATTTAGTTTGAAAGCGAGCATGTAAGATGATCAAGGAGCTGTGGTATACAAGAGATATGGAACTCATGACAGTATGAAGACAAGAAGTGTTTCACATTTATATGGCCACTATTAAGAGGAAATATCCTGGGACACAATATATCTGAAGTGAAATCACCTGCAATCCCCATTTATAGAAATAACATTGCACTGGTATTCAGAATAAGAGTTCTGGGAACAAAACCATTAAAGTATACTCTCTCATTATCACAAATGGAAATATTAAGCTATAATAAATGATAAATATATTTCTATTTATACACAACTTCGTAAAAGCCTCCCCAAATATAACCACTTCCAAATGGCATGCTAAAATTTGAAGATCTTCTAAACATAGACATATCAGTCAAGTTTTCTGATCTTTATGAGGAATTATCTGTTTGAAATCCTTTAGGATTCTTTGTCTGCCATCTCCAGAGGTCTTCACCTAAAATGGAATTACACTTTTAATTAGATTTTAGAAGTAAAAGTCCACGATGATCTCTCAGAGTGAGAAAGCTATGAGATTTGTTTTTAAATCAAGGGAACAGTGGATGAAATGACCTGAGAGAATCAAGCTCTCGCTATCAACAAGATCTCGGTGGCCATTTTCTTCTCTCAACTTTTCCACACCAGACTTTCTTGCCCGAATTTGTTTGCACTTTTTTCTTATATTTTTCAATATTTCAGGAAATGAACGCTTATTTTTGGAATAAATAGACAAAATTTGGGTCAATTTTTAGTATTTACTCAAAAAATGTGGCTATTATTGTGCCAATCTGCTAAAGGAAAGTGCTGACTATAAACGGGACTATTTTGTGAATTTGTGATGAAAAAAAAAGAAACTGGTGGTGAAAAGGTTAAAGGTCAATCAAGTTGTATATGACAAATTACTACAATACTTAGTTCAGTCGAGATGATATCAATGAAATTGAATCAGTATATTTGTTTCCATATTTTTTCAAACATTTTGGCATTGGAAATATGTACATTTTGTCTAAAATTAAAGAAGATATAGAAATTATATAACAATACATAAAAATATGCAAAATATTACACCAAAAATTGTATGAAGAAAAAATACAAGAATACATGTACTTACACATCTCTTCCAAATTTCTGTCAGATTTCCATCCTAATTCGGTCTGTGCTAAAGTCACTTCAGCATAACAAGATCCAACATCTCCATCTCTCCTATCAACTATTTTGTATGGAATCTAGACAAGAAAAGAACCTTTGATTTGTACATGATTCAACCATAATGTCATGTGGCATGTGCATGATGTCTATGTGTTTTGTGCATGATGATCATGTGGGGTATGCGTAATGGCCATGTGGGGTATGCGTAATGGCCATGTGGGGTATGCGTAATGGTCGTGTGGGGTATGCGTTATGGCCGTGTGGGGTATGCGTGATGGCCGTGTGGGGTGTGCATGGTGGCCGTGTGAGGTGTGCGTGGTGGCCGTGTGGGGTGTGCGTGGTGGCCGTGTGGGGTGTGCGTGGTGGCCGTGTGGGGTGTGCGTGGTGGCCGTGTGGGGTGTGCGTGGTGGCCGTGTGGGGTGTGCGTGGTGGCCGTGTGGGGTGTGCGTGGTGGCCGTGTGGGGTGTGCGTGGTGGCCGTGTGGGGTGTGCGTGGTGGCCGTGTGGGGTGATCGTTGTGGCCATGTGGGGTGATCGTTGTGGCCATGTGGGGTGTTTGTTATGGCCATGTGGGGTGTTTGTTATGGCCAAGTGGGGTGTTCGTTATGACCATGCGGGGTGTGCGTGGTGGCCATGTGGGGTGTGTGTGGTGACCATGTGGGGGGTGTGTGGTGGCCATGTGGGGTGTGTGTGGTGGCCATGCTGGGTGTGTGTGGTGGCCATGCGGGGTTGCATGGTGGCCATGTGGGGTGTTCATGATGGTCATGTGGAGTGTTCGTTATGGCCATGTGGGGTGAGCATGATGGCCATGTGGGATGTGCATGATGGCCATGTGGGATGTGCATGATGTCCATGTGGGGTGTGCATGGTGGCCATGTGATGTATGTATGTATGATGTCTATTTCAGATGTGCATAGTAGCCATTTGGGGTGTGCTTGATAGCTGTGTGGGATTTGCATGATGTTCATGAAGTACTCCTTGATTTTCTTTTGATTATATCACCACTATTGTATACTTACTTTTTTGCCAGATGCCTTTTCCATTCCCCTAACCATGTCCAAGACAGAATATCCTTTGCCAGTGCCAAGATTATAGACCTTCAATCCACATTTGGTGCTCACTTTTTTAAGTGCTGCAATATGACCAAGTGCCAGGTCTACAACATGAATATAATCCCGGACACCTGCAATAAATCAACATAATCATGTTAGTTGCCATGGATATAATGTTGAATACATTCATATAAACACATATAACATATGTT